AATGCGAGTGGTCTGACAAACCTTGCCGAAGCGGGTAGCCGTCAAACAAAGACCATATAGACAGTCATCGGCACACTCCAATTTAATACGCAGGCCATCCCAACAACACTTTGTGACATACGCCTGCAACAAAACCGTTCCACAACAGAAAAAAAAACGTCATCGTAGCCGGGTCTCCTTGCCGCACCCCATGAAAAGTCGCAATCAAACCAAAAACCCGCCCCATACTTGCAATCCGAGCGGGGTTATCAGAGTAGAACGTCCGGTATAACAAGACGATAAAACTCGGTACCCCCATGGCCTCCAAAACAGCCAGCAACCACTCAATCGATAACGACGGGGAGGCGGCAGAACAAACCGTCAGGACCAGCGAAATATCCTCACTGCCGCGCACATTTTCGGAGAGCGCCCACGCCTCGGCACGGACGATATGCGCAGCCATACTGGGACCAGAGATGCACGCCTGAGAAAGTAAAACCATTAGCTGCCCAAGTTTATTCCGTGGGCGGGATATGCAAGCACTCAACAGCTTCGCCTCTGTGTTGCCCATGGAGGGTGGGCGAGTGGTCTCAGGCGTCCTGGAAACTTGGTTTCCTACGGCATCATGAGAGTCTCCTTGCGGAGTAAAAGCCATGAGGACTTCAAGCATGCCCCGAGGAAGAATGATGAACTTCCCCTGGATCATGTCCTGCTGAACATTAGATAAACTTCCCGGGACATCTCCAAGGCGCCAGCAATCATACGATCCCATCAGGCTCACGCATACGATGCGTACGTGTCAGGGTAAAGTTCCCGTAAATAATCGCATAGTCCACTTCCCTAGAGGTACTGGTTCCTACGGGCGCCTGTCGGGCGAAAGAGAAAAGCCCAGGCCACTTAGAGCGGTCCTCATGCAACTCGCAGAAGACCTCTCCCGACCGGAACCTCAGAGCCTCAGCTGACGTTTCGGGGTGTGGGGTATGGTTGGGCATCATCGTCCGTCACTCCTTGGTTCTCACGTGTACCTCTCTGAGGGAGCAACGGTCAGAGGCAGGTCATTGAGGCTGTCTGCGCTGTCTGGCGGCTGGGCCAGGGATACCCTCACAATTCGACCAAAAACCGATGGCAACGCTCACGAACATGTCGACGCTGCGGTAAAATAGCAAACATGCTTCAAACGGGCGCACGTCGAATCTTCAAGCACGCAAAGGGTTTCAATGAGCTCGCACACCATTGTTACAAACACTGCTGTTTCGCCTGAAATACTGACATCTTCACAAATCTGGGAAAACACAAGGGCCACCCTCACCGAACTTTCCACGTCACGGTAAAACCGCAAACGCTTGGTTTCTCAAACAAGCGCACGCAGAACCTCCAATAACGCAAAAGTGGTTCGTGCTTTCGCACACGGGTATTAGAAACAAGGCAGCTTCGCCTGATATAGGGACACCTTCACACTTCTGTAAAAAAAAAAAAACACAGAGACAACCCTCATGACAACTCCGACGCCATGGTAAAACAACCAAAACATGTTTCAAACGGGTGCGCGTAGATCCTTCTATAACGTAAAGGGCGTCCATGACTTCGCACACGATTATCAGAGACAAGGCAGTGTCGCCCGAGACATCCTCACATCATCAAGTCACGACGCACACGACACTACACACATAACACATAACATCGACCACACACGCAACATACACACAACACACAACACTTACATAATACACACGCACGTCTTACCAACACACACGCACACAACGCACAACACACAACCAATACAACACATAAAACACAACCCACGCACGCACAACACATCACACACAGCACACATCTAAAACACTCCCTGCAACACCTACACCACACAACACACAGATCGCACAACACAACAAATACACACAGACACCTCACATAAACACACACACCACACACCTACATGCAGCACGCGCAACATACGCACTGCACGCATACAACACACAACACACACACACACATCACGCACAGATTGCTTTGCAAAGTCCAGGCACGCACGTGGCGCTTGCTAGTGGTGCCTATGTTTGGCGGCTGATGTCAGTGTATGGGAGTTGTGTCTGCTATCGGTGCAAATTACCACTGCGTATAATTAATGCCCATGTACCGTGATACTGCTTGGAACTATTGCTGTTGTACGGTAAGCGCACCTGTTATCGATGCATGTTCTTGATGTGCTAATTCTTATGATGTAAATTGTCGCCTGATAGGTGTCAGAATCAGGCCTGTCCGTAATGAATAAGTTGGACGCCTCTGCTGCACGCACGTGATTCGTGCTTGTTGGTTGTAGCGGATATTGGTGCCTGCTCTTGGCAGATGTTCATATACTATGCTATGGATGTCCACGCTGAGCGCGCCAGGGGCGGCGCCGGAGACGCCGCCGGGGGGGGCCCAGCGCGGATCCAAGAAATCAGCGCGGAGCGCCAAACATTTATGCTTATGCCGTCTCAAAACAGCCCCACCATGAAGGCGTCATGCCACCCAGGCGTCACGGCGTCATGCCGCCCACATGCACTCAGAACAGGCAGAGCGACCTCTCTCCTCTCTCCTCCTCCTCCTCCTCCTCCTCCTCCTCCTCCTCCTCCTCCTCCACACACTGAGAAAATCAGCTTGTTCTTGGATGTTCTTCGTGCCGCCAGTGCACGCAGGGATCCCCGGCGCCAGCCGGCCGGCAAAGCAGGCCGGGGGCGGGCGAGGTGGGCTGACCAAGGGGGCCTCGCACGCACAGGGCTGGGGCCCGCGGCCGACGCGTGCAGGGCAGGACAGGCGGGGCGGGAGAGCCTCTTCGGGGCCTGGAGGCCCCAACCTCTTGGGGGGGGGGGTGCGGAGGAGGAGGCCTTTCGTAGAGGGCGGCGGGACTTCTCGGAAGCCCTCGCGACTTCTGAGAAGTTCTCTGTAGCCTCCCGGGTAGGCCGAGAGAACTTATCAAAAGGCCAGGGGCCTTCCGAACCATCCGAGAAGGCCTTCTCCTTCTCATTTCTTCCCCCACATCGCTCGCCGCCGATATCTGTTTGGGCTCGAAGAACTAATTAGTAACATCGATAATTCACCATCGCTCGGACGTCCATCCCGCGTGCATTGCTCAATCTCGTGCGCTTCTTTGCCACGAGAGAACCCGAGACGTTCCTCGAGGGCACCCGCCGAGCAAGCTGCACGCGTCCGAGCGAGGCCAAGACCACGGCGTGAACCGAACTTTTCGGGAGGTCCGCGTGGACTTCTCTGGCAGACCACCTCCCATTGAAGGGGCCCTGAGACGCAAAAACAAATGCACACAGATGAAAAGGCTCCCCCATATTCTCCAATATGTTTAGGAGTTGTTGTCTTCCCCCCACTTCCCATATTTTCCCCTATTTTCCTGGGGGACGAAGATTCATCTTGCCATCGCTCGGACGTCCATTTCCCGTGCATTTCCCTTGGCGAGCGAAGCTCGGCAAGGGGCGGCGCCGGGGGGGCGCCAGGCGCCGCACCAAGGGACCCGCGCGGACTCTCCGAGCATCCGCGCTCGTGCCAGCGCCGTCCCCGCGGAGGCCAACTACCGAACAGCCGCGCCGCGGTGGGGAACCCGTGGGCGTGTGGCTGCCGAAGACTTCTCTGCCTCGCCCGTGCCTTTCGGCCCCGCGGCCTTCGCCTCTCGCTTGTGCGCGCGGGCAATGCCAGCATCCACGCTCATGCCAACGCGGACTTCCGAACATCCACAGCCGCCCTCCCCAGACAGCCGACATCGCTTCATGGCGTGGGGTCCCAGGGGACGGAGCCCGCTCGCCAGGAGCGGTCGGTCTTCGTCCCGAGTCTGTTCTTGACGGCCCCGCGAGGCCGAAGCTGACCCAGAATCCTCCGTCGCAGCTTTTCCCAAACGAGAGGAAGCCTGGGTCTAGCCCGCGCGGTCAGAAAACCATCCCCATTTAGGGTACCGGTCGTAGGGCTCGTCCTGACCAGGTTGTCGAGGCGATGGGGCCTCCCAGGAGGCCTGGGAAGGCGAAAACGAGGCAGGGGGTTTTAGCATCGGAACCACCTTCTCCTCCTCGGACCAATGTTAGGTCGGGCGTGTCCCCCTACAGGCGGATTCTGGACGAAAACAAAGTCGAAAATGCCCCAACCAAAATCAGAACTGATAAGGAAATCGTCCCCAGACAATTCTCTTACTATTTTTGAATATTCTCCCTGTAAGGGGACACGCCCGACTTAACTTTAGCATCGGAACCACCTTCTCCTCCTTGGACCAGTGCCGCCTGGCGTTCCAGCCCCGGCCGCCCTCTGGCCCGAGCGGCTCAGAGGCCACCCCCACCAGCAATCCAGCCCGAGAGCATGTCATTGCACTGGCCTTGCAGACGTGCTGCAGAGGAGTTCTGCGTGGAGTTCTGCCCGAAGCGGCGCGTGGAAAACGAAGTGAATGTCGTGAGGATTTCTGTTGGTCTTCATCCCTGGCCAAATACAAAAAAAAATAATAAATTCACCTCGAAATTCGGAACGATACTCTCCAGGACACTCCGGGCCCATCCTATCGCTGTCCGACCGGAATTCGCTCTGCGATTTTGGCGCCATGAACCTTCTCCTCCTCGGACCAATACCGCCTGGCGCTCCAGCCCGGGACGCCCTCTTTCCCGACCGGTGCAGAGGCCACCCCCATAAACAATCCAGTCTCAGGTCGGGCGTGTCCCCCCACAGGCGGAACTTGGAGGACAAATTACAAATAGTCGAAAAATGCCCAAGGATAGCCAAACAATGATCAACAAATCATCCCCAGGCGGATTTTCAAAACATCGTGCCTCCTGAAAGCGGCATCGCGAGTGCGAAGGCATCCCTGGCATGGCGGAGGAGGCGAAGGAGAGCAGGGAAGGAAGGGGAGGAGCCAGAGGAGGAGGACGAGGGGGCACGTTGTCAAACATTGTAAAACAATAGTCAGAAAGGATATCAAACAGTTCAAACAACTATGTTTGAACGTTCCCCCTGTAGAGGGACACGCCCGTCTGAAAGCTTGCGCCAGCCCGCTCCTGGAGGTGCTCGCCCGCGCCCCCCGGGTAGTTGCTCGCGGAAAAGACGGTCACCGCCATGGGCGCGGTGCCCCGGCTGTACTCGGTCTCGTACCTAGGGCAACGAACTCTATACACCGACACCTTTCCCGACCCCACGCTGAAATTCGCACGGGAACGCGGATTCTGGTGTATACCGGATCCTGGTGTATGCATGCTTCGTCGTTTCCCTTCGGAAAACGGAGAAAAATATACACCACACCACCCCGACGTCGTCCCTGACCCGTAAAGAGTCGTGGGATTGAGAAACAACCCGCCACTGGTAATGTATATGTCCCAGCTTGCCCGCCCCTGGCCTCGAACCCGGCCCCTGCGGTGGAGCATGGACCGACCGGTTTGCCAGAAGTGTCTCCCGAGAGCACGTCGTACAAAAACACCCAAAAAGCTCCGGGAACTCTCTTCGGTGGGCGTGCAAGAGCATGTTTCTCTGTAGGGTCCGGCGATGACCCGGGCTATCGGGCTTGCCCCCTGCCCCCCCCCCAGGAAAACCCAACCTGGCCGGTTGTGCAGGTCCGGGGTGGGGGGACGCGGGCATTTGCAGGGCTGCCCACAGCGCGAAGGTTAGGTGATCGGCCGGCCCCCTCCTCCCCCCCCAGGATAATCCAGGTCACCGCCGACTAAAAAAAAACGGTGACCAAGCAAGCCAGGACACTCCGCCACTGCTTGGGAAGGTCGTGCCAACACGACGTGCGTCTGTGCGTCTGTGCGGGGCGCGCGTCCGACACAAGCATTGTGCACACCTCTTGTAGCATCTCGTTTGTCGGGCCGTACAGCGGAGGCCAGTGCACAAAGCAACCTTCCCACGAGGAACCCGGCCCTGAGACCCCAGGACGTCCATGGATGTTTGGTGTGGGAGCGTCACGGCATCGAGACCCAAGAAACCCGAGGTTCCCTGGAGGCAAGCGTTAGGGCGGGCATGTCCCCCTACAGGCGCACTCTTGACGAACGGCTACTCCAGATTTCGTAATAAAGGGAGGGGGGTCTCATTTCGGGGGGGGTCTCTTCCACGCTATCTTGGAGGGCCTGGGGGGGTCTGGGGACGATGTTTTGGAGGGTTCTCCCACGGGGGAGGTCTGAAATGGCTTGTCTTGGAGGGCCCAGACCCCCTCCCTTTTATTACGAAATCTGGAGTA